ATAGAAAGTGATCGAATTGGAGAATGATGTCTGAATCAAAGTTGTAGTCAGATGAGTTAGCTGTCCAACGCATTTTGAATCGCCTCAATCGGATATCGGAATACAAAGTTATGATAAAAATACTGAAAGAAGGTGCAGCTGCCTGTTTAAAACAAGAAATTCCGTTACATAGTCCGTTAAAACAAAAAATTCCGTTAGTTTTTCCGTTAAAAACAAGAAATTCCGTTAGATAGCCACTTTTAATATATAGAAGATTTTTAAAAAAACTTTGATAGAAAAACAAAAGTTGTTTTAAACACAATTTTAGACGAGGATCATTATAAAAGACAAGACGTGCTAATTGATGAAAGAACAAAGATAAGAACAGTTCGAAAAAAGATTAAAGACTTTGAGTGCAATACAAATATTGCTATTAATAAGTTCTTTGAAATTACGAAAAGGCCCTTGGTGTATGGTGCACCCAAAGGAGTTGGAGGGATAGTGGTTGCCAACTACTCAAATCATATTTTTGGTTTGGTGAGAGGGAATTAATCTAATTTTGACAGGTTGTAGTTAGAAAGTAGCTATCTCAAGCTTCTTGTTCTTAAGCGTGAGTTTGTCTCCCATTATTTTAGAAGAAATGAAGTAATGAATAATATTTTTTGGAGAATGTGTAGTTGAAATTTAAAGTGACTTTATTAGCTTGTGTGTAGAATATTTTATTGGGTGAATATGTGGTGAAAAATCTTACTGTATCAAACAATATTTTGGAATAATGGAAGACAAACGGGGCCTAAATTAATCCATCAACATATTTTGACAATTTTTTTTTAATAACCGTGGATATTTGGGCCAACTTGTACGCACTTCGACTAATCCCACGAGGCCCTAAAGTTTACAGTCGAATACTCACCTCAATGGCTCTAAGAGGACTCGAACTGATGACCATTGAAGAGCAAACACAAGCCCTGACCAACTGTACAACCCCTCAAGGTTAACATATTTTGACAATTTGATACATCAATTTTCTTATTATTGAGAAAAATATTAGGATATTTTTGACATTTCGACATATTATATTTTGACAGGAATGGACCTAGAACAAAATGTTTTGTTCATAATAGATTTCGTGACATCTAGTGTTACATTTTGTAAAATTTTACAAAGATCGTGTTTTTTAGGTAAATTCAAATAGATTGTTCGTTCTCTTAAAGTTGTACTTAGAACATAAACTAGAACCTCGGACTCCGAAGATCCTCACTTTTTTCTATTCAAAGATCAACTTTAGCTCTGTATTTTCACCTTGAGAATCATTTGCTGGTTAAGAGATGTCTCATCTATAAAGCACACGTAAACCAATCAAGAACCTGTCTCTATGACTTTATCACTAGACTCCAACACAAATATTGAAGCAGAATGTTTACACAAAAGAGATTTACACGTACGAGAAATACAAGTACAATCAAATTTTGGTCGAGTACACAGGATATTTTGATATGGCACATCAATTTTCGAAATAATATTAAGAAACTTGTACAGTGTATTGGTACAGGGACAATCTTACACCCCCAAAAGAATAAGGGAAAGTAGCTTTTAAAAGCCACATCTATTTACCTGTGTGTATGGGATTATGAAGTCAAGAAATGTAAATATTATTTGTTAGTATGCTATTCAGGAAGAATGTTTGCAACAAGTGAGCACACAATCCTCCAAAAAATTGGTGAGCTGCGAAGAATACAATTTGGGGTCATTCCGGAAATGATCGACATGGGGAGTTGAAATGAAGTTACAAGCTCTGACCTCGCGTCCACTCCTCCGCTGCTTCTCTATGAAGGACTCGACGGACCCTGCAGGAATAACTTTGTCGGCAGAGCTATAAATGTATAGCTGTGGACAGCTTGGTTGCTGGAGTGTTAATACACTCAACACATCAGAAAGCCTCCTGTAATATGAGAATTATTATTAACAGAATGTCATGGTAAAAAGGATTACTGAACTAAATAATGTAAAATCTAATTGTTGCTGATTCAGACAATTTAATTGCAGTTGTGCAAAAGTCATATTGGACATTTACATATGTAACAGATTACAGATTGCAACCTCGGAAAACGTTCAGCATATTAAATGCAATGGATAAGGTGGTTGAAAATTAAAGAAAATGAAAAGTGTGACAACTGCTGTAAAATGTAAATACCATATATAACACCTTTGTGAGCATAACTGTTAGTTAAGCAAGTCCGGAATAATAAAACAAAAATTTTAGTTTGTTAAGGAAAGCCTCTTTACCTATTTACTGAAGGATAATTCAAAACCAACCCGAAGAACTTCTCTAACACAAGTAGAAGAGCTGCTTCAGTTAATGCAGGCTTGGCTTCGATAGCATTTCTAGTTCCATCCGTTGCCTCTGCTTCTGCTTCACTTAAGCTAGTGAAACCTTTAGTTGCAACACTACGCTTCTTCAAAAATGCAGCAGAAAATCCAGAAGCCCAGACCTAGAAGCATGTATTACGTATTTCATCAATAAGATTGAACAAAAATCACACGAAGAAGAGAATTATGAAAGAACACGATACAAGAGAACACTTAAGATGCTGAATTAATATTTGTGAATAGATTCACGGCCTCGACAAGAAGCTAATATCTCCTTTTCCTTTTCCACACTGTGTAACAAAACTTCTAGTTCCTAGTTTTGCAGCTTTTGCTTCTCATAATCGACAGAAGAATTTAGAGAAGGGTAATACTCAACAACAAAGCCTCACTTGGTTTACATTAATCCTCTTCTTTCACTCTGCTCTATCAAGAGTTATTACTAAGTTAAACCACAAAGGCTCAAATTCTTCTAAAGATGTAGATAAAAAAAACATTTAATTGAATCTCATGGAAAAAATTGATGCAATGTGAAATAAATCAGCATCGACTTGGACGTATTAGAATGAATATGCAGATTTTTGCACTATCTTAGTTAAACATGAAAAAAACAAAATCAAGCAAGCTTCAACACACAAGCGAAATGCCAGAAATAACACAATGTGCCTTAACGTAACTGGTGGCACTATAGTTCTGAACATTCAGTGCACGTCTCTTGTTTCATGTAAAGCTATGTTTCAACACACAATGTCTTTCCAGCTACCATGTTGCTGTAGCACCTTGTGCACAACAATTCTACAAAAAAAAATTACCTGTGGATCAGGGGCTGCCACAGGAGCAGAATCCACGATACAGCCCTTAATCCTTCCCGTTAGTGTGATATCCTTGTTCTGAAACTTTTCCAAGATGACTCCATAACTGTACAGAAAAATAAGAGACTTGTCAAACATATCAGTGAGCAAAAGCCATGAAAATCTCTACCTTTCGTCTTTTTTCTTTATTTTTTGAGATCTTTTTTGAGATCAAGTTAAAATTTAATATTCAAAGTTTTCAGCGAGATGAGTGACAGGATTGAGCAGGAAGCACAAAAACTTACGTTAACCATCCTGTGTTGCTAAATGTGTGGAAAACCAAATTCTTTCCGTGCTCTTCTTCCAGCCATTCAGCGAGGTGGTTCACAAGCAATTCTATATCCTGCTCAGATTTCCCCCCAACTTGATAACTGAGAATCTCATTCATTGGGAAAGTAAATGTAATGGCATGAAACCCTCTCGAAGTATACCATTCTGCATATCTCTTGAGATGCTTCTGCTTTGCACCTAACCATCCTAGCAAAACCACAACTGTCCTAGATTTTGCCGATGAACAATCAGAAACCCCAGACATATCGATGGTGTCTGGCTGTGGCAAATGCCATCTATATAAGACATCTGATGACGAAGGAGGAATATTATATGAAAAAGACACTGGTTTGGCAGTTTTTGCTAACTCAGCAGACCGATACAAATTGAGGAAAACAGGAGAAGACACCATAGAACAACAATTCGGTCCAGTGTTAGGAAATGAGATTCTTACTTTAGGCACAGGCGTGCGAATTCTAGTGATAAAAGACAACTCTGTTAACTTGGAAACAGATATTTGGGACACCCAAGATGAACTTGTTTCTTGTAAAGACTCACAGACGGAAGGATTGGATTGTTCCAAGGAATTACAAGTCTCTGATGAACTGGAAGGCCGCAGTTTATCATGAAAATCAGCAGAAATAGAGGCTACTGCAACTGCAGAAGCTGCAAATACCGGTCTCTGAAATATTCCAGACAAGGAAGCCATGATGAAAAATAGGAGGCTCAAGATGTGTCAAAAAGAATTATTGTCTACCCACAAAACCTAGAAACAAATTTTTGCATCCACCTACAAAAGTGAAGGATTAAAACATTAAACTCATTAATTCAACAACAAAAACATGCCCAATTGAACAAAAAACTAATATTTGACGCGCTACCTACCAGTTTAGGGGTAAACGTTTTGTATTGAAGAATTCAAAATCAGGCTGTCCAACTAATTGACAGCCTGATCCCAGCAGCCAATCAAAAAGAAATCCCTTTACAGAGTCGAACTTATAATTCCTCAAGGCGTCCTGTAATTAAATCAATATCCAACCCGGAGAAATCAAATAGTTAACCAAACAACATAAAAAAAAAAAAAAAAGTGATGGGATGCTGATGCCTGAGCCAATAGGGTCACAACACGTGAATCGTGATCGTTTCTTAATACATCATAATCAAATATAAATTATTTTCCATGTGAGGATTAAAATTACCCTAAACCAACATAGTCCCACATATTAATAAGAAAGAGTATGATGTGATACTTTCTTCCAAAATTTTTGGATTCAACGTATGAAAGGACATTATTATCCCCTATTTCCACCTAATTTTGCAGAAAGGAGTTGGTTTCAAATTTTAGCTTGAATCCTATTTTCCTTTTTTTTTTTCTGTTGAAATTTTACCAATCCTGAACGACATTAAATCAATTTGGAATTAATGAAATAAGAGTAGAAGATTAAAACATAACTAGAATTAACAAATAAAATCAATTCTCCCTTCAAATAAATTATAATCTGGTATAATAGAAGTAAAAAATTCAGAATTGACATCACCAGACCTCGAAATTTTTGGGGGAAAGGGGGGAAACGGAAGAAGAAGCCAGAAATAAAAATGAAAATTAATCTAATTAAAAAAAAAAAAGATTGCGCGTGTGTCGAAGAGAGATGAACTGACCTCACAGAGAGAAGAAAAATTGAAGAACAAGTGGAAATCTGCCCAAAAAAATCAATGAATTGAGTAAAATATTGTTCAATCTCTTGTTCTATAGCAGTCCTCGTTTATGGGAAAATGAATGGACGCCTTTGAATCTGTCTCTCTCTCTCTCTACCCACTCTGTCTCTATATATACATGTTTGCATAGACTGTTTTCACATGCACATTGCTTCGGGGTTTCCTCGATTATTGCGTTCTTTTTCGGCAACTTGTCAAGGATTCGTTTGGTTGAATTTCTATTTATACTTATATTCTCGGTAGAAGGATTTTTCAAGTTTTTCGTGGAAATTGATTAAAAATTCAAATTTTAATATAAGTCAAAATCAACAATTAATTTTAACAACGTATTTATGGATTTTACAACTTTTTAACTATATATTTCATCAATTTTTATCAAAATTTACTAAAAATTTAATTTTAATTCCCACCAAACAAAAACTAGATCAATTTCTTTTAAAAACAATTCGGGTGTATTTGATTGTAAACATGAAATTTGAGTGGAAAAAAAATAAATTTCTGACAATTGAATTGTATAGAATTTATTTGCATGAAAATTATTAATTGAATATGTTTGATTAGTTTAATTTTCAAGCTAAAAATGTTGTACTTATCCATCTTTTATTTTCTCTGTCTTAGAGGAAAATATGATCGCGTGACTAAAAGTAGAAAAATATTTTTCATAAAAAGAATATCAATCAAACAATGCAAAAATATAATTTTTGGTGTAAAAAAAAAGACATTTTTCATAAAAAAAAAATATTGACAATTAAATGCATCCTTCTAATTAAATAAAGTATTTTCAAAAATTTATTTAAATAGATTCAAAAATAGACTATTATTCTCATAAATAATAAAAGTCTTGCCAAACAGGTCTGAATTTACTACCTTCGTCCCATAAAAATGTGTTTTTTTTTGTTTTTACACAGATTAAGAAAATGTAATTACTATAATTTAAAATATAAGTTTTTTTTTCTTAATATACCCTTATTTTAAGTACGATTAATTTATATTTTTTGATAAAAAGGTACGCAAATTAGAAAATTAAAAAAACATTTATATTTTCAATAGGGAAATTGACCTATAATTTGGAACTCGGGAGAAAAGAAACTAAGTCTAGCTTTATGGAACAAATGTACTATTACCTATTCAAATTCGAACAACTTTTAGCTCCTACTTGGTTTCCATTAAAATGAAATTTTAGGAGAAAATGTAATTTGATATTGTGATTTTTGGAGTTTTTGTGATTAAAAAGAAAAAGTTTTGGGACTACACATAAAATTATTTTATGAGAAACTGTGTAGTTGAAAATGAATTCTTGAAAAAATGGATGACAAACATAGAAAAATCAGATTTTTAATAAATTTTAATAAAAGTTAATGAAATGTGTGATTGAGAAGTTGTGGATCCCATAAAATACGTGGTTAAAACTAAATGTTAACTTTAATTTAAATTAAAATATAAATTAAGCTCCGATTAAATTATAATTCCTACCAAATTGGAGCTTAATTTATCAATTATCATCTAACTGCAATTTCTTTTAAGGTATAAATCATGTTTGGAAAGTATTTATGATTAAACTTATAAACAAAGAAAAATAAGTGATGAATAAATTGATAGTACTCGTGAGTCCCTCACCTATAGAAAATGCGAGCCCATATGACACTCCTTCATTGCCTAATCGTGTTATGGCTATAAAATCTTGAAACTGAGGATGATTATAGAGATTAGAGTATACTCAGCTAGATGAATTATCGTTGCCTTTTAAACATGATTTATTTTCAAATTTACAATCATGACATGATTTGGCTATGTACCTTCCCAGAAATATAAGAGACGACCTTATTTAATGGAGAAATGCTACATGTACAACGCTTGAGTTACAATAATAGATGACAACCTCTCAAAAGGAGGTGGGGCCCGCGATTACATAATTACGGGCCCCACCTCCTTGTGAGAGGTTGTCATCCATTATTGTAATCCAAAGTTGTACGAGTAGAATTATTCTATTTAACGTTATATCTAAATTTAGTCATATGATCGACGGTATGACTAAAGTTGAATGTAAGTTAAAGTTCGATAATCAAATTTAGACAAATAAAAATCAAATTTATTATATAATATAATAGGTTCAATGTCCAGTTTTGCTACACTGATATTTTTGTTGACATCTCGTGATGTGGCAGACAATCTGACCGTTTATTTGAATGACTTATTGAGCAAATTTTTTACACATTATGAAATGTTAAAAATGATTGTCAAAATAACTTTATTCATAGGGCCTGTTTGGTACAGATTTTCATTTTCTACAATAAATCAATTCTCATTTTCAACCACACATTCTTCAATAAAATAATATTTTTCATCACATCAATACTTTTTTTTTCTTTTTCAATCACACATTTCCCATCATATCACTATTCAAAAATCAAATAGAAATTTTAATCTAATGAAAATTGAAAATATAGTCGTTATTGGGTCTCACTCGTCTAATAAAAGTCAACAATAACGACTAATTTTTTAATTTTAATCCGATTTTAATCTCTACCAAACACACTCATAGTATTTTTCAATAGGTTTTATTTTTAGAGCACGTGATATTGTATTTTTGCAGGATTCCGGCAAATTAGAGGTGGGAATCGTGGGATACACGAAATTCCTTTGAGGAATATACTCGCGAATATTCGGACATAATTCCAACTTGTATGGGATGGAATTGGATTGCAGTATGGAGCTCCATTCCATTCAACCTTTTTTCTTGTCCACAAAATTATTTTACAATCTCTAATTTCCCAATTACATTTAACATAAATAAATAAATTCACAATATTTCAAGAAATCTCCATCATTTGTTTTTTTTTGGTTATTGCACTACACCTCGTCTCCCAACTCTGAAGTACACACTAAATGAACAAAGATTTTACTATTTGTACACTCGACGTACAGTCCCCTCACAATATATGGTTCATGCCCAATAAAAAAATCGTGAGCCCCCTACTGTGATCTAGCGAAACCCAATGAATGACTTAAATCGAATATCATCGATCTTATTGGGGAAAGAAATGAGAAAATTTTCTCTATTCTTTTATTATTATTATTTCCTATTCAGAATATTTGTTCAAGTAGAATTGTGACATGAGGATGCTAGATGAGTTTTTGTATGTAGACATAGACGACTCAACTTGATGTGATCAAGTTGAATGTTAATCGAAATTTGGAATAAAAAGCAACATGATGACCATTTTAACTTTGTTTTTATTTTTTTTTTGAAATTTAATTTATCTAATATGGAGCCACCATTGGTCAAGTATAGCATGTTGTTCAATTGCACTTGCTCATCTAACTTAAACTCAAGGAACTACGTATAGGACCTCAAATAAAACCCTCTAACGTTACACAAGGAACTATGTATAGGACCCTTCCTGGAGATTGCCCTGCTACAAAGAAAGACAAAAGGCAGCCTTATTTTGGTACCCATAGGTGTATCACTACCCTCATAGTAGCTTCTTCTATATAATGTTATCTAGGCTCTTGAAAAGCTCGTGAAAGGACTATGTTAAGTGATGGAATATGCAGAGTAACATACGTATTCACAACTAAATGAGAGATGAGACCAAAAGTAGTCTTGAAAGGGGAGTCTACAAGGGCGGTTGTCGTGAAGGGGCAGCCCCATTAAGGGTCCAGTGGGTGCAATTGCCCCCATTGGACTCTTAATTTTTGACATTAGAAAAAAGAAGAAAAAAAAAAAGCCTACATAATTTTAGCTCATAATTCTAGCCCATATTTTTCATGTAATTCTATATCGTCCCCACTGAACCAAAATTCTAGGTCCGCCCTTGAGAGCCTAGTCGGCTTCTACCAGACCTAGAATTGTTTTAATTAATTTTATTATTGCTTATTTCTTGTTTGTCATTTGTATCATCTTGGGTTTACTTCGTTCCATCTATTTAGTTGTTCATATGTAATCCCGATATTCAGTTTGTGCGCGAATTGAGTATTTTTTGTATTGATTACTTTAGTAAACTAGAGTTGATGTCTGCAAAATCACGGTTCTTGTGCATGACGGGATTTATGATATAAGCTCCAATGCCATACTCCTTGCATAATTGTACCAGGTCCGTTGCATCACCAGCAGCTCTGTATCCAAAACGGTAGTTTTGACCTATCATATTAACAATCATACTCACCATTCCATCGCTGGAACTTAACAAAATTAAGAAGCCAGAAAGGTAAGGCAGTATTATAATTGCCACAACACCGTGTACTCTGAGCTCGTTTGCTAACTTCTCAACAAATTGTTGTGGGGTAAGATATCGAACTTAACCCCGAATTCCCTGGGTTTGACATTACCATAGTTGAAAAGTATCATTCCAATATTATTCAGTTCAGTTGAAAAGTATCATGCCAATATTTACTCGCACCAATGGCACCCCAATGCAAAGGGGGTCCTTACCAGTAGTCTTGTTGTGTGGTAGTTGAGAAGGGTCGGTTTAATCCAGTAGACAAGATTCATTTCTTTACTCACATAATGTAGCTACATAAACCATTTAATCTTTCACTCAATTTAGAAAATACTTGTGAATCTAGCAGATTATGAAAGTTTTGCACATTCATCAATGCTTCGAACTAGATTGAGTTACAGGACCATGACATATTTGCAGCAATTTACAAGAAATACTTATCCCAAACTGCAAAGGCAACAAACTTTCGATCACATTTTATGACGAATTATCATGATTATCACCCCTCGCAGATGAAAAATTTCAATACATATATTAAGAATTGATAAAGAAACTATATTTTTCATGCATTAAATGAATTAAAGTACTAAATGTGGAGATAATGATATAACAAAAATTAAAGTTCTTCCAGTTATACAGTCAAGTAGCATGCAAAGTTCACATTCTATGCACAGGCTTGAAGAACATCTGATAAACATCAGATTTATCAAGAGGTCGAGACTCTCTTCCAGCTTTTAATATATCATATTTCTTAACAATAGAAATGTTATCGCATACATATTCAATATACAACCAAGAATCACGTAAATGAGGAAGCAAACTATTTTTTACTTCTCTCAAACAAGTAAAGTACAGAAGAAGCATCAGTTCACTTGCTAGTTGTTGAAGACAAGATTTAAATGATATACAAATCACCCTCTCTAATAGCTTAAACTTATAGATACTATGGTATCATAGCTTGCAAAGATTCTAGGTTCAAGTTTTGCTGCCATCCACTCAATGAAATTTTACACATACGAGAATTTGATAGAAAAATATGAAATCTTGCCTACAATTGTGCACGTGGCTCTTCTTAATGGATCAAGCTTTTAGATGAGATGTATAACACCTGTAAAAAAGTTAAAAAAGTAATAATATTTACTCACTAAAGACATAAAAAATTAAAAGCAAAAAATAAAATAAATGAGACAATAAATGGGGCCCCCGATCCCACCCCGTCCCGCTTTAACTGGGTATGAGGATGGGACAATGTAATAAAAATACTCGACGGGACAAGGATGAGAAAGCCGACACGTCCTATACCCGTCCTGTTGCCATCCATATATTGAGGATAATCCTTCAGGTGGAGGCTCCTGGCCATCTTCAGTTGGGCTATCCATAAAGTGTGAAGGACCACATAAAAACGTAAAATTAGTTTATACTAATATATATCGCAACTTGGCACTCTTTTCAATGTTAAGAACCAAAATGTTAAAAAGGATAACAGACATACATGGACTGTTGAAACTGTCTGAAAATCAACATACTGCTTAAACTTAAATTTCCACGGATTTTAACAGCAAATCAACCTAAGATAACTAGCATGCAAGAGCTAATTTAGTCCCTAAAGTTCAATTCATTGATTTTTTTTTCTAAACGTATCAAACGCAAAATGCATAGTCTTGATGATGCTACATTCCAATCCCAATTATGAAAAATATAAACAAGAATCCAATGAACAGAATTAAAACCAAACACTCCTAAAAAATGAAAATAAATAAACAAATAGAGAATAATACCTCAAAACGTTGGAGAGGAGGGGACTCTGAGCTGTATTCGTAACGGAATTGTCATTATTAACTAAAGAGACGCTGGCAAATTCATCATTACTACTGGTAGTTGAAGAATAAGAAGAATTTAACATTGTAATCCAACATATACATAGAACATAAACTATAGCATACATAGAAATCAGAACCAATGAAAATGGACAGAAACCAAAGGCAGAATTGAAAACAGGGCAGAACTTTACTTCCCTCTTTATCCAGAAGCAATCCTTCCTTTTGCTTCTTTCCCGGTCATTCTTCACTTCAGTTCGGTCGAATGGCCTAGGCTCAGGAACAGCCTCCAAGCTTGCAAATCGCCTTCCATAGAGAGTGCAAGAACTGGTAAAGAACGCTCAACACCTGGCTTGGGTCATCGATCCAAGGGATCTACCGTAGCAGCCAAGAACAACCATCGAATCCTTGTCCCAGCCCTCGAGAAACACCCACACTCAACCCTATTTCATGTCTAAGTGATGCACCGGTATTTCCCCTTCAAAAGGCTCAAGGATTGGTTAAGGAACTCCGGTTAAGAGGAAGAAAGCAGGCCGTGGGAGAGAACTAGAGAAACGAACCAGAAGAGAGAGAAGAAGGAAGTGTATTCGAGAAGCCAAAACCCACGTGATATAGTACCAAGAGTCAAGCCAAAATATCTAGCCAAGAATTCATCCTAACCATCCAATTTATCCAAAGGCTAAAATCAAAAGTAGTTCAAACTGGGTCAGCCCAATGCGCTAGGAGAACCACAAAGCCCACAGAAAGAAAGTAGCAGAATTCTGTTTCTATGAATGTTTTATCAATTCCTTTGGATCTGTTGTAAATTCCAATTTAAGTAGAAAATTCTCTTTATTCCTCCGTTCATACGTGGTTCATATATTCCATTACAAATAGGGAGTTGGGTAAAATTTCATGTGATTCAGTAAACATAATAGAATTTGTCAAACATGGGCTTAATTTGATTTTTTTTTATTTTTATTTTTTTGGAGGAAGGGGCAAAGGAGAGAGGCAACAAACCCCAAAATGGTTTGGTATAAACCCCAAATTGGTGAGGATTACAGTGGTTATTTCGCAGGTGCTGTGATATACCGCTCAACATTACTCACTAGTTTGGGCCGAAGAAGACGACATGCATTGTGTGTGGCGTTTTTGACACTACTAATCGTAAGAGATTTTTTTATAAAAATTATTTGTGAAAAATGCTAATGGTTACTTATCCCTTGAATTTTAGCCCCTATTTGGTGCTCATTATTTTAAAAAAAAATGAGTTTTGAATAGTAGTTTTTGGAGAATGCGTGGTTCAGAAATAGGAAAAATTTTGAATTTACTATAAAATATTTTATTGTGTGAATATATGATTGAAAATGATCATGTAGTAAAAAAAAGTTTTAAAACATTAAGCACCAAACATGGGCTTATGTTAGTGATCGAACTTTTAGAATAGAATTTTTGTTAGAAATTGTATGGTTAAAAAATAGTGAAAAATTTTAGGTTCGAGTGTAAAATTATTTTATGGGAGAATATGTGATTCAAAATGAATTTAAAAAAAAAAATGAGTTTCTGAAAAAATGATAGGCCAAACATAGGCTTATTTTGTCTTAAATCAGTTAAATGGATCCATTTACTTTCTAAGGCCCTGTTTGGTCTACATTATTTTTTTCATTCTCATTCTTCTACTCATTTTCAACAATACATTTTCAATAAAATAATATTTTCCATCACATCAATAACTTTTCCTTCTTTTTCAACCACATATTTCCCATCACATCAACAGTAAAAATGCATTATTACCTTTAAAAAAAAGGTTGAACCCCAACCTTGAGGGCCCCCACCGACCCTGCCCTGGGCCATTGTGGAGGAGGTAAATCGCAGGATGTGCCTCCCAGAAGCCAGGGTGGAGAGCTTATGGATAGACCTGGGCTATTAACCCTATGGTAACTCCCGCTTGCAACAAAGTCAATTCCACCTTGCGGGGAATCGAACTCTGCACACTACCGCGCTGAGCCCTAACCGCCCTCCCCTTTGCCACTGGGAGATATGCCCTGGGGGCTGCATTATTACCTTTAAAATGTGCACCAAACGGGGATTAAGTGTAGGATCAAATGTTTAAAAGAATTCTTCGATGTATTTTGACTAATTCGTATTTAAAATTCTTGTCGATAGATATGTGATACGTACAATAAGCAAGAGAATTTTTATTTTTAACTAAAACAATATGAAACGTCGATGAAATTGAAAGAGGGTAAATGTAGGTTATAAATGATAAAGAAATTTCTTGAATCACATCTGATTGCCGATTCTCGACAAGCAGGGGTTGAGCCAAGAATGAGGGGCATAACTAAATTTAGAACCAATTTTGAAATAAGGTAATAAAATAAAATTCCATGTGCACAACGTATATTCACTCTCCATCTTTATTTTTATCCGGCTCTTCTTTCTTATTTATTAGAGACACAATGGATCCCCATTTTCAAACAATAGCTTACTATAGGAAATCGGTACTTGTGGTTTCTTTGTATGGTGTGACCCACCCATGTAGCTAAGGTCCATTACACGGTTTCAAAGAGAAAGTAGTAGTCCCAGAAAAACAATGGGTCGCTTGAAAGTTAATTTGTTGTAGTGTTACGTTTTTTTTATTGTTTATGCAGATTTGATCATCACAGAGCTGTTCTCGCCCACGGTGAGAAATCTTATAATGCTCACTCGGAGAGAACCCAATGCCACATTAGTAGGTGGGCAATCTTATTCTGCTCACAGTGGGCAGAAGAACATTTCCATTGTTCATCAATGAGTAAGAGAAGCCCCATTTTCACCATCATTCCACTGATGCCTTGCACATTTCCTATTTTCATCATCTCATATTCATTAAGAAAGGCATATTAAATGATATTCAATCAAAATTCCTCCATCTTTGTGACAACATCATTTGCGCATACTTAAATCAGAATTATGTTCTTATTCCATTTATTTTTTTATCAAAGTAACACAGTAGCGACTACGTCAAAAAATCGACTGATACAAATGCCCACAAACTAAAGTTGAGATAAGTCTGTCCCTCTTAATAGAACGAAAAATCAACGGAAACTTTATCTAACTAGACCCAAATTGAGGATGCCCCAAGAAGTGTTGGGCCATGACCTCTCCTTAGCCTTCATTAATAAAACCCTTGACCAAGCAATCCAACCTTCCCATGACATTCTCTTGTCCCATGGACTCCCCCATTCTACCAGAAGTCTCACCCCTTTCTCAGCAATTTTCTCAGCCTCCTCAAACCTCCCTTCACTCAAATAAATCTGTGCCAAAACCACATAAGGCTCTCCAACAAAAGGGTTTTTCTCTAAAGACCTCAATAACATCTCCTCAGCTCTCTTCAGCTCTGTCTTGTTCGACACGTTATAGCAAACAGCTTCCCAGTACAAATCTCGTGCAGTAATCTGGTCTTTCGAATCCAAAATTCGCGTGCAACAATCGAAAACCGGAGGTATCACAAGTTCAATGTCTTCGTCTCTATCTTTTAACAACTCATCACCATGTTTATTTTTCCTTTGTTCAATGAATATTTCTTCTTCCCGGAGGATTAGAGTGTATATTGCACCCATTCTTGAAATGGAGTTGATCCATAAGCCTGGCTTGCCATCACCCGGCCATAGGGTCGAAACATTATTGCCAGAGAACTCGAGTCGACCATCTGAATTGTCGAATAAAGAGTCCTGAAAACTGAAAAGCTGATCACTGAAATCCCCCATTGTCATCATAAGAAAAACTGCAAAAACTCTCCTGGAAAGCAATACATCTTCACCCGTCTTTATGTGTTTCACAGAAATACCTTGAGCAGGCACAAGGGACTGCAATTTTAGCCTCCAGGGTTCTTCATCATTAAAAAGATTCTTCTCCTTGGCATTCTTCAAAGAAATCTCAGAAAGTTCAAGATGTTCAATGAGCTCAGAATCAGTGTATTTGAACAAAAGATCATCATGAATGAGAGACTGGCGTGGAACTATGCAAAACAAGTGAATCAAACGCTCAGCAGCATCACCAACGTGAGCCCGAACCGTGTCTCGGCCAGTCGAGGGATCAAAAATCGCAAGATTTACGTAGGAATTGGAATAGGATGAGTGAAAAAGACCACAGAGACAAACTGATTCAGGTGCCTTCCAAATCTTGAGTATGCGATATAAATCAACAAGGTGATCAAGAAAACTGCCGTGCTTGTGCCAGCACTCTCCGGCGCCCACAGAACGCAAAACGGATATTAGACGAGGCAGATTCTCGTTGACGGTTTCAAGCTCGCCTGTGAGGAAGGGACGGGCCGATTCCAATAGGGTTTGGAAAGAATCATAGTTGTGCGATAAGGATTGGGAAGATGGCATGGCTGGAAGTGTATCTACGAAAAAAATCGCCAAAACGCGCAGCGAACACGACAATGGGAATTTATGAATACGTGATATTCTTGTATTTTTATAGGAAAGAAGCGGTGAACAAGTTTGATCTTATCTTTTTTATTGCGAAATTTCTTATCTTATCGGGTGAGAAATTCAGTACATGTGATTCTGAATCTCTGATAAAAATCTTTTTTCATACATCATTCATATATCTATCCACTTTTTTTTTTTTTTTAATTATATTATACTTATGACATGTTTGGGTCGGATTAAATTTTGATTTTAATCTAAGTCAAAGTCAAACAATCAATATTAACCACATCTTTTATGAGTCCCACATCTTTTCAACCACACATTTCAAAAACTTCTATCACAATTCACTAAAAATCATTTTTTTTTTTTTAATTATATTATACTTATGACATGTTTGGGTCGGATTAAAATTTGATTTTAATCTAAGTCAAAATCAAATAATCAATATAATCACATCTTTCATGAGTCTCACATCTTTTCAACCACATATTTCAAAAACTTCTATCACAATCCACTAAAAATTTAATTTTAATCCCCACCGAACACATCTTAATCTTATATAAATTTACGAGAAAAATAAAATCTATCACGTATTCATCCACCGATATTTATTCTAGTTAAGTGCTTTTAGAACTTTTATATTATTTTAGACTTTACTTTTAACTAAAATATCCTCTTCAATTAACGTCAAAACTTTTTTTAAACTCCGTGGATTACATATTATAATTCTTTATTTATAATCGTGGACTAGATTGCTTAGGTCATCTCCAACCCTACATCAAAATTTGAGGTAAGTTTTACACAATTTTACACTAAAATAAAAATCACATACAACCATTACACCAAATGAACAGTATTTAATCATTTTCTTCTCTTTTTTTATTCTTAATAATTTATTTTTTTGAAAATTTATTTCTTTATTATTTATTTTACAAATACATAAATTACTAAATAAATAATTACGTTAAATTAAGAAAAATATTAAATTCATTAATAAATATATTATTAAAACATAGTACAATTAATAGAATCACTTCAAAATGAAAAATATTAAATCATGCCATTAAAAAATAGTGCACT